AGAAGTGAAGTAACTTCAGAGCGCACATGCGCAGGTGGATTAGTGTGACGCACGGGTAAGCTAGAGGACCAATCGCAATACGATCAAACCATCTGGTTCGATAATTTGATAATAATTACAGGGCACAATGGTTCACACCCTATCAAGGTCAGGGATGGCAGTCTCAAGAGGAGGTGCGATCATGTGAGTTTGTGAGTAAACAAAGAAATGGGGTCATTCGTGGTGAACGGAAAGCGCATGTCTGGCTTGAAACGTTGGGTGATCTATAATAATATTGGCAAGTGATAGTTTAATTGACATTTTTGTGAAAGGGAGCGCGCGTAGGATGACAAACAAATTCAACTGATTCCGTGGAAATCCTGTGCCCGACTGAGGATTCGTAGTCATGCCATCATATAACATTAAACAAAAGGGAGTGATAAATTCCTGTTCAGATTTGTCTCGAAACGTGTGTGCATGTGTTCTTGTGAAATTGATCGCAATGTCAAAAGTTCAAGTGGTTTTTTTACACGAGAAACTCGTGCAAGCACTTCTGGTCACACTGAGGCGGGGGGGGGGGNGATCGTGGCTAGGATACGATAAATCACTGTGACTGCCTACATCGGACTGTGGAAATCGGTCGAAATGCGCTTACCCCATGCACTGAATGATTTGACTGAACCAGGTACGAGCACACCACGCTCACAATTGCCTTAATTGTTCTCGTCCTCGACCAAACCGGTTTGTGTTCACGAACGCGATCGGATAAGGGCCTGGTTGTGCCAATTCACCCAGTACCACCGGAACAGGTGAATGAGACTAGGGAATCTGTACTCTGTCAATCGGAAACAATCGTTTTTTAAATGTGAAGACGGCTTGTACTTGGCAGCGCAGACTGCTCTGCTCCTGACAGCTTTCGTTGAATAATCTGTGCTTCTGTTTCTCCGTTGAAACTTCTGGCACTGAGAACACATGAACACATGTTTGGAGCCAAACCTGAACGGTTGGGATAGGAAGTTCTTGTTCCCTTTGGTTCTTGTTGTTAATCATATTTAACGTTATGTAATGGCATGATTACGAATATATCGAGAACGAGCTTGTTTGCCACAATGTGGTTGTTCTCATTGTGTTCCCTGGGACTAATCAAAGATTAGAATTGGAAATACAGTTCGTGGCTGAATAGATGTGCTCAGCACTTATAGGCACATTCATGTAAGAACATAATGAACAAGCAAGGAGTTAGGGTCAAAAAATGAGATCAGTCGGTAGTGACAACGGTTGCGGATTGATAAATGGACAATTGAATAACAAAAATCCTATCTGATGTCACTTCATAGATCACATAGGGAAGATTTAATTGAGCAAAATACTACTATCTGAATTAGGTTACAGTTCAACTGATCAAAGTTCAGTGCGCTATCGGAAGCCGGAGGATGGATGTAGTTAGTCACCGGCATAGGCCGGATAGAGGACAGGAAGTGCGGAGCTAATGATATTTATCTCAATAGCTGTGTGAATACTGAAACATCCAGATTATCGATTTCAGATGGCCTAAGGAGGCCTGCCCGAACTTTACACTTCTCTGAGACACGGGAATAATTCAACGGGAATTTCAAATGAAATGAAAAGTGACCTCAAGACGGACAGACGTCAGTGCGACAACGATCAACAATTTAACTAGCTTGGTGTTTCTCGGGTGACTCACTTTAAAAGCAAGACTACTAACACTCACGGATCGTTATTAACAGTGAAGTGAGGTTACATTCACTTGAGCAACAGGGAAGCAAAACAATTGCGATTGCAGAGTGACAGATTGATTCGTTTGGAATCCGTTTGGGATCCGAAAAATAATGAATTTCTTGCACTGAATCGATAGCCGATTTCGGAAGTTTGGTGTAGGAAATGTCTAGTTGGGTTGAATCTTCCGTGACTCTATTCATAGGGATAGTGCTTTGTTTGAAAACAAATAGCGATCACATTGATTGGAACATAGATTAAGCCTGTTGGCACCTCACTAATTCCCGGTCCTGTACCCGTAATATTACATTTCNGATTAGCGTTTAATTGGGATTGGCAAATTGATTGTGAATTCTCCAAGAAAATTCACCTGCCTTGGCCTGGTCAAACTGGCAGTATCCCACCCACAAGCAAATCAGAGAACTTTCCCGTTGTTATAAAGATTTATGTGCTACGATTTATTTGACACAAATTCTGAATTCAGACACGTACGAAATACGATACAATACAATGCTAAGTTTATACCTTACGGCTCGATTGGCATCTGACAACTCGAGACATTTGTGGTGTCGTCGCGACATCCAGCAGTCTGTTAAGGGTCCAGTATATGCTGCAGCAGTTCAGCCTGTACTGCTCTACGGTCCAAAGATTTGGCCAATACGGGACCAGGATAAAAATAGATTGTCGGTGTTCGAACACCGCATTACACGAGTCTGGTGGGGCAGCCGGACGGGCAATACTGAGGTTAGACGTAGAGTTTTAGGCAGTCGCGGTCGTCCACTGGAGCAAGTGACCGACCACCATAGATTACGTTGGTTGGGGCATGTTTTACGCATGTCACCAGATAGATTGCCACTGCGAACTCTGCTCTTTTATCCAAATGGGGCACCAAAAGACAGCAATCAAAACCGGTGCACGAAAATGCATGGTTAATGGTTGTAAAAACTGAACTGAACTGAACTGACCTTACGATCGTGTTCAAGTTAGGGTGTGATTATATATTTTGCTTCTCAATTTCCAAAGGTTACATGTATCTGGATCGGCACGGTTTAAATGTACGTAGTTTGCGCTTTGGAATATAGAATTAGAATCAAGAGAGAAACATCACGCAGTCTGGATAAAAAGAACATCGAGAGTTTTAGGTTGTAGGGTAGGTACAATGTTGGATGAACATGGTTCAAATCATGTGTGCTTTTACTGCCTCGAATTGTAAGCAAGCCAACTGACACTACGGGGTACAACCATAGTTCACATAAGTCAGATTGTTTATTCCCAATTGTAACGTACAGTAGACCATCAAAACAAACGTGTTACTCCCCAATGATTGGAATTGGTCCCAATTTAATTGATACAATGTGAACAAGTGTTCACGCAGTTACTGGAAATGTATAGCGCAAGTACTGGTAAAGTACTGAATGTTGGGCGTAGACGTGGATTCAAAAAAAAGTGATTGAACGTGTTCACTT